TAGACCCATTGGTGTTGTACTTTCTTCCAAACACTCATTTTTTGCTTATCGATTTTTATCCCAGCGGGAGATCAACAAAGATCCATGTTTGATTCGACATAATCAAATATATTTCATCATTCATGGCCTCTCTACAAAGGAGGTATCCTTTGAAGACATAGCTTCTCTAAACGTTTTTGAATCTTCTTCTACATTAAGCAACAATGATATTTTATTAAGTACACCAATTATATCTCCTTCAACTATAAAAGTTAAAGCTTGAGATGAAATAACATCCAGTGCTAAGTTCTTTTCTTTCACATTGACTTCTTTTCGGTTTGAAAGATGTCATAGACTTTTTTCTTTTGTTCTTAGTAGAGGTACCGGGAGTATCGTACATGGTTGATCAACATTAGATCAAAGTTTAATGGAATAATCAAGACTAATTTGTTTTAAATGAAATCAACATCTCTTTATTACATTAGAATCTAGATTCAATAATCTATATGCCTTGAAATTTTTTCAGCATACTCTACAAAAACACTTTTAATCTTTCTAGCACCTTCTTTGATGATTTAGGGTCAATCACTCTATAGAAGGCTAAACAGCCCCACACCCTTAAATACATCGAATTTGGTTTTCTTCCTTTACACTTCATATGGTGAATCATGTGTTTTTATGGATGTATTCTATTATGAACATGACATGCAGTAAATAATACTTCCCCTATAAGTTATTAAGCAATTTAGTATTAAGAAGCATAGAGTTTATCATGACGGTAAAAATTCTATTCTTTCTTTCAGCCAATCCAATTTGTTGATGAGTGAAAGAGGCTGACCATTGGTGAATAATGCCATGCTCTTCACAAAAGGCATCAAAATTATTAGAGAAGTATTCACCACCTCTATCACTTCGAACCATTTTGATCTCCTCATCTTTTGGTTCGCAACTTCAGCTTTATAAAATTAAATCTATCAAAGGCTTCATCTTTTGTTCTAAGCAAGTACACATAAGTGTATCTAGAACAATCATCAAATAATGTGATAAAGTCTTTCTCCTCCTCTTGTCAGAACACAATTATACTCACAAATATCGGTATTAATCAAATCCAATATTTGAGTATTTCGTTCGGCTCTCGGAAAGGGTTTCTTTCTTAGTCATCTTTTCTTGTATACAAATTTCACACTTATCATTTTTGAACCTCTTTGTAATTAATCAAACTAAGTTTAGACATATATTTTAAAGATGTAAAATTGAATTGTGCTAAATAAGCATGATAAAATCATAAGAATCAACAATACAATTAAATATAGAATTCGTGTCTTTCTCATTATCAATGCTAAGTTTGAACATGCCATCACAAGAAATAACCATTTCCTACAAAAACTCCATTCTTTAATACAATACAATTTCAGTCACTTGGTGATGGTCTTTCTTTACACAAAGAAAACAATTTCCTAAGAACTTTTCTGACCATTACCGGACTTCTTAAACTTCTTGTCGTTATTGACTTTGAAGTTCTTTGAAAAACTTACTTGCTTCGGCAACATTAACTTTAGAGTAATCATTCTTGCCTTTGGGATCACGACACTTAATCTGCTCTTCTATCCTCAAGTATTTTTTACAATTCCTGTAGAGTTATAACATCTCTCTTATGAAGGAGTTTCTTTTTATAACCATTATAACTTTGAGGCAATTTAGCAATAATAGCCCCCTACTTAGAATGATTCAGAAATTGTCACTTTCAATTCATGAAACTTAATAATAATAACTTACAATTCATATATTTTGATTAAGAACGAACTTAGTATCAACCATAACAAAATCTAGATATTTCAAAATAAGAAATTTGTCCGTATCGTACAAACAAAGGGAATATAACAAGCATAAAGATAAGAACCACCGGTAAGGATAAGAACAAATGTGAATTAGTGTGTTGTCATCACAACTTGTGTGTTGTCATCAAACGGTGAGTGTTGGAATTAAAGAAACGACACTGCTTTTATTAATTTTTTATTGTTTAACAAATTAATAATTACACATCCTTATATATTTTGTTTGGAGAACTGTTGTTGTTCTTTATCCATTGTAATTGGAACAATATTGTTATTTAAATCCTGGCTTTGCAAAGAATTTTTTTTTCTTCTTATTTTGCCTATTTAAGAGGTTTTTGAGGTCTAAAAGTGCTAAGAAACTATTGTAAATGCTCTCAACATGTCTCAAATATTCTCTTACTCTCTCAAAACTAAAATGTCCTTTATTGGTTAGAAAGAGTATTGATTACAAACACACTCTTGAGATAACATTTTAATGACATTTATTGACTGTTCATATCTCCCAGCTTCCAAGTTGCATCTAGCCTTTAATAAGACAGATTCTTGAGTTTATCAATCTTTCAAAAACTACAATCAAATTTAGATAATTAGTTGTGGAGTGGATAACCAACATCCTAATTTAAAATTGGTGGTTGTACGTAGAAGATGTTGAGCCTCATGTAAAGAAGTCACCAACTTGTATAGGAGATATTGTACTAAAAAGGTGACCGCAATAGTGGAAAGATTAGAACATGGTTTCTTTGATAAGAACACAAATTTATTTTATCGATTTAAGTTTTCAATTATAGGTTTCTACAGTTAAAAACTCTTACAAAAAATCACATCTATTTTTTTTTTTTGCTACAGTGAAAAGCTTTTAAAAAATGTCACTTTTTTTTTGCTATAGTGAAAAGTTCTCAAAAAAATGTCACTTTTTTTTTGCTACAGTGTTCTGTTGTAAAAACATAGATGAATGAATAATACCTATGACATTATAGCATCCTGCAAGCGATGTTTGGGGGAACAAAATAGTTGTGCAAGACATTATGACATTAAAGATATTATAAATAGCCACATAATTTAGGTCGAATCTTCTATTAGGGACACATATTTAGCAACATGACCCTACTCAATGTAATTGAAATCCACGATGCTACTCTCAACCATGGAATCAAGTTGATATGCTACTATCCCTTTTATTTTTCACATTTAGAAGTAACTTCTATGTAATGTTTACACTATAAAGATGAAGTTGTCTTTTACTACACTTCCAAAATAAACTGCAAGCCTATAAGAATCTTCAGAAGACTCAAAAGTATGGAGAGACAAATGTTATTTACTTCAATTCCACTAAGAACAAATCCAAGATGAAGAAGCAAGCTACAATACCTAATAAGAAAAAGAAAGAGAAAAAAATAATACGGCCAACTTTGTTACAAAAGAAAAGTATTTGCACTACAAGTCTACGACAAAGAAGGTCACTGTAAAAGGAATTATACAAACTACCTCGCCAAGTGAAGCATAAAGAAGTAATATGTACTATTTCTAAGAGCTTGTTTAGAGAATGATCTGCAAGTTTATGGATTGTAATCCAAATTTATTTATATATATTCTGTCTAAGGATTGATAGTATGATGTCATGTACCTTCATAAACAGGAATTTGATTCATGTTACTTATTTAATTAAACAATCATACGCTGTTTCTTTTTCAGAAAAAAGCTTTGATTATATGAAATTATGTTTTGCTTTGTCTTGTTGTTAATAGAAATATTTTTTATGTTGTGTAACCTAACTTCTATTCACTAAACTTAACTTAAAACATAAAGATGAAGCATGAAATACTAAGAGATAAAAACTTGACACATCTTACTAGATATGCGTGGCACCTGAGATTAGATTGTATCAACGTAAATAACATTTAAATGTTAGATTTTAAAGGAGTTAAAGTCAAACTTAGACCAACTTACGAATCTTATCTGGAAGGTAAAGATTGTTCTTTGTGAAAAATTATAGAACCACTGAATTTTTTTAGCAGACACATTCAAATATTTGTGGTTTATTATATGTCCAAGCATGAGAAAGTTATAAGCACCCTTTCATTTTTTTGTTTTTGATAATTACTCGAGATATACATATGTATTAAGATTGGTGCTTATAAAACATGTTTTTTGTTTTTTTGTTTATAACATTATAAGAAATAAAGTATATATGGAAAAGAACAACAATGTAACTAAAAAGAAGAGTGACGGTAGCACTAAGCTGTTGAGGCACTATTCATAGTCTTGTAAAGCCATAATTTTGAGTCATAAATTTATTAATTTTTTTTATGTAAAGAAGAGCGCTCATCCACGCACAACTCCCCCCTCTATGACAACTCCCCCCCTCCACGACAACTGTGATGAGAAGAGTGAGATCTTAAAACTATAGATACGTTGAAAATCTGACATGCACCACATGCTCGACCAAAATACCGGCACCTCCTATCCCTCCCTTTCGTTCCCGTCTCTAAGTCTGGCGGGTATGACAACCAGCCAAGAGATGATGTCGGACTCCGGCCTTAAAAGAGAAAAGCGAACAGCACGCAAAAAGAAGAAAGAAACTTTGGAGATAAAAAGGGGGAGAGAGAGAAAAGGAGATGAGAGACCTAACCAATTGATTTTTGCATACTTCGAAATTAGTGATCCAAACGAAGTAGGTGTGTGTAAATTGGCTGAGCAATGTGTAAATCATGTCACTTTGGTTGCGAACGGGCATGGGGATGTATTTGTTAAATTTTGGAGTAAAGAATATGCAAATATAAGTCTAACATGACCAAATAACTTTAAATGTATAAAATAATTTTTTAAAATTAATTAATTAATATAAGGATTTGGATGGGATCATAAAGATGATATTGACTCAGTAATTAATATAAATGCACATTAGTAAGGAGAAGTTTATTATACAAAGTTAATACAGATAAACTAATCTAGACGTAGTTCATTTCACCCATTTGAATTTTATTACAGTAAAAAAATTTTAAAAAATAATTATATTTAATTTTTTTAATACAGTAAAAATTTTTTATATAAAATTACATTTTAACTCAATTAAAAATTCAAATCAGAGAACTAAACGGGTCATAAATATTTTTATTAGGAGTATCACGTAAATATAATGACGTGTAGACCAGTACACTGAATAATTCCTCCAACTTTCACCGCAAAACTAATGAGTTTACTTAAAACCAGAGCATTTACCCAAATTTCTCGACTTCCCACCCTCATTAGTAACTCTGCTGATTCCACTCGGCGCCACCCTCGCGCAACCCCCCAGACAGTCACCACACCAGCCAGCCCACGCGGCTCAGAGTTCCTCCATCGTGGACATCCGCTGTTTGGCAATGGCCGTTCTTAGGTCTCAGAAATGGGGCTATGTCCGAATCATCGTCGGAACCATTCTCGGCGGCATTCTCGGCTTCTACGTCATGGACCGCGTCGACAAAAGCTACAAGGTCAGTTAGTATTTCCCCACTTTCTATTCAAATCCTCTGTTTGGTTGCTCAGAAACTGTGTTTAGAAGAAAATGAATATTCTTAGGTTCCTTGACTTAATTGATCCAGTAGATTTCTTTTAAGCTGATTCTGAATTAGGTTTCAATTGGATGTTTAAAGTGCGAACTTTTGTGTTTTGGATCCAGGAGAAAATGAATGAGGAATTGAAAAGGTACGAGGCCGAATTGAAGAAGAGGGAGAAGAAGAACCAGCTCGAAGAATCCCTATAGCTCTGCATTTTCCTTTTACAGTTTGTTCTTTGTTCTTTTTTTGTTCCCTGTTTGGTTGGCGAGAAAATCTGTGAAAAATAAAGAAGTAAATTATCAATTTCACTTCTTTTATATGACGAGATTCCGAATTAGCCTTGTAAGCTATCAAGTTTTGATCTTACATTTTCTTACAAAAAATAAAGCGCTCATTAATCTTCTTGTATTGCTAGATTACCAAAGAAAACTTTGACTCCAATTTATTGATCCAGATTATATTTTTTCACTTTTTCCCGTTTCAAATTTTGAAATAAATTAGGAAGAAAAGTGCATTCATCGAGTGAATTTCCTAACCAACTTTGCTGAAGATTTGTCTCTTTTACATTGAACCGCTTCTTTGCAGAATGTATTTTTTTAAGCTGTTACATATAAGTATGTTTTGAAGTTATTCAGAGTCAGTTATATTGGAGTATTTTAAGTTTTTCCTCGTTGCTTTTGGTTTATCTAAGAGAATCTTGTGCAAAACAGACCATTCACCCATAGATTACTATGGTATTCATAGTGTTCAACTTCTTTCATATGTCCCAAGTGTTGGTAGCTATTTAAAAGTGTGTTACTTGATGAGTGTTTACTAACCCAGAAATTGAAGGTGTCTTACTTCTTGCCATAGTGGCTTTCTTGATCTAGGCGAGGCATCCCATACTATTGTTGCCGCGTTCCCGGCTTAGACCGCTCTTTGGTTTGATAAATTCGCTTATTCAGGAAAAGAAAACCAGAAACTCTCCACCTGTAAAATCCTTATTGTAGTTTCAACTAGTTGGAATCCTGTGAAATGTTCTATCTATACTAATTTATTGAGCAGAATGGAAACTTGGTCTTTAGTTTACCCGGTTGGTTTGTGATGGGAACCGGGAATTGCTGGTCTATAGGAGGAAGAAACGTTAGCGATTAGTGGTGCTGACGTGGATATGGGTGACGGGGAATCTTGTTGAGAAGGCTTTCAGCAGTCTTGTTGAGAAAGCTTCTTTAGTAATAACTGACATTAGTTTGTTTGTTAGATTTGTTAGTATGTTAGCAGGGGAACCTATAAATAAGCTGGGGCTTGAGAGTTTAGGGGCTTTTTGGTTGTATAGTCTTGAGAGGAGAGTCGGTGATATCTCGAATATCACCTGTTGTGTAACTCGTCCTTCATTAATCCAAGAGGTTTCCATCAAATTGGTATCAGAGCAGTTCCGTCTGGGAATGGGTCAGAAAAATGGACAGAAGAGTGGAAGTTGTGGAGAAGGATGTCGAAGAGCTCAAATCGGATGTCGGAGAACTCAAAGGAGTCGTCGGACAGCTTTCGGTGGACATGGTGATGCGATAGGAGGAGCACAAGGGCAAGCGGCGCAACCTTCAAGAGATCCATTGAGTCTACCAAGTGGTCCGGTGACAAGGCTTAAAGTCAAACGCTTCAAGGAAGCATTGAACGGGCTGGTTCAACAAGTTGGAGATACGGCAAACACATGGAGGCCCAACACAAGTCCAAATCCGGATGAAGAAGAACCTAGTCACCTCAAATTGGCCGAATTGGGCCTAGGGGAAAACTTTGTGGCCAAATTGGCCTTGGGTTAGAATAAATAGGGTTTTGCTGAGTTTGGGCTTTAGACTTAAATAATTAGACGTTTTTAGTTTTCTTTAGGGTTAAAATTGCATCGTATATAAATAGGGATGTTAAACACGTTTTTAGATAGATCATTGAATAAACATATTGAGGTTTTGCATATTTTGTGCTTCTTGGTTCTTGAGAAGACTTTTTGAACTTATCAAGTATTTTTCTTGTGGTGTTCAACAATCGAACCTACCATTGAGATTAACGGGTGTTTCTTAATAATCTTGGTGTGGCGTTCAACAATCGAACCTACCATTGAGATTAACGGGTGTTTCTTAATAATCTTGGTGTGGCGTTCTTCAACCTTTGTAGTTCTTGATTCGCGTCTTGATAGACAACGGGTCAAGGCTCAACAATCTTGCGTCTTGAAGGTCTTGGGGTTGTGATCCGCGTTTGGTGTAGGATAGAGTTTTCCTAAACCTAGTTGGAACTCAATTAGGTTTTCCTTCCTTGTTGCTATCTTTGGTTGAAAACTTCATAAGAGAGTCCGAGTTTCAATCAAATTCGACCTAGGTTCTTTTATTAGCCAAACTTTGCGATTAAAAAAAATCCGAGAGAAAAAAAAATCGGAGTACTGTGCCTTAGAACAGCCATAACTTTTCAAGCCCTACAATCCTCGGCAGGGCAAAGCCTGCCGACCCTATTTTACAGGCCAAAATTCACTTGTTTTCATTAGTTTCGGAGCCTTTTAATTTTACCGGTTTGTTCGGTTGCCAATAACTTGATTGTTACTTGAAAAACTTGAGTGTTTTAGAGTCCGATTAAGAACTAAAGAAGACACAACGAGTGGAAAAGAAAAAGGCAAGAGTGGTGAGAACATCGGAGGGTAAAAGCCATTGAGTGACAAACACGAGCGTAAAGAAAGAAACACATAAGGAGTGAAACACGTGATGGACTGCTTGTGAGGTTTCTAACTTTGTTTTGCAGATTTTAATTATGTCTCACAACCAAGGCGAACGTCAAACCGAAGAGGTTCAACAAGAAGCCAATCCGCCTCTACAACATCCGAATCTACAAATGCAGGCATTGGTAGGGGAGATGAGGCGAATGATGAGGGTGGAATTAGAACAACTTCATGAGAGGATGGATAAGCTAGAAGAAAGGGTGCAACAAAATAATCCCATTAGGCAGCCACCTAGGCGTATGCCAACCGAGGATCGATGGGGTGAGTTTGAGGATGAAGAGGAGTTAGAGGAGCTTGAGGATCCACCAATGAACCGGGATAGGTTTGGGAGAGGGAATAGAGAAGCTAGGATGGGTAGACCTAGGCGAGATGATGATTTGGGGAGCATTAAGGTGAAGATTCCATCCTTCCAAGGGAAGAGTGATCCCGAGGTGTATCTTGAGTGGGAGAAACGTATGGAGATGGTCTTTGATTGTCATAACTACTCGGAGCTCAAAAAGGTAAAACTCGCTGCAATTGAATTCACCGATTAATGTTATCGTTTGGTGGGACCAATTGTTGCAGGATAAGAGAAGAAACCAAGAATGATCCGTCGAGACATGGGACGAGATGAAGACCATCATGAGGCGGCGTTTTGTGCCAAGCTACTACCACCGAGAGTTATTTAACAAGTTGCAACGCCTAACTCAAGGTTCCAAGAGCGTAGATGATTACTACAAAGAGATGGAAATTGAAATGATCCGCGCGAATGTGGAGGAGGACCGTGAAGCAACCATGGCGAGATTCTTGCATGGTCTAAATCGTGAGATAGGGGATGTAGTAGAGGTGCAACATTATGTGGAGCTAACGGATATGGTGCACCAAGCCATCAAAGTGGAGCAACAGTTGAAAAGAAAGAACATGGCTAGGAGGGGAATGAATGTGGTTGCCACAAACTCATGGGAACCAGCCCCTAAACAGGATGAGTTTCCTATGCCAAGACTTAAGATTGAACCCTCTAAGGATCCCAAGCAAGCTGAGACATCAAAACAAGGTAGCCCCGAATCCTCTACAAATAGAAACCACGACATTAAATGTTTTAAATGTCAAGGCAGGGGGCACATAGCTAGCCAATGTCCGAATAGAAGGGTGGTGGTGATTAATGCCCAAGGAGAGATTGAGTCGGACGAAGAGGAAGAAGAGGTAGATGACATGCCACCTCTTGAAGATGCCTATGAAGGACAACGTGCGGTGGAGGGAGAAGCATTAGTGGCAAGGCGAGCCCTTAGTGTGCAGGTTAAGGAAGAAGAAAACAACCAATGGGAGAACTTGTTTCATACGCGGTGCTTTGTAAATAACAAAGTTTGCAGCCTTATCATTAATGGTGGGAGTTGCACAAATGTGGCCAGCACCGAAGTAGTGGAGAAGTTGGCATTACCTACCTTGAAACATCCACGGCCATACCGGCTTCAATGGCTCAATAATTGCGGAGAAATCAAGGTAACAAAATAGGTGATGGTGACGTTTTCCATTGGGAAATATGAGGATGAGGTGCTTTGTGATGTGGTACCTATGCACGCATGTCACATCCTATTAGGAAGACCATGGCAGTACAGTCGGCAAGTCACACATGATGGTTTCACTAATAGGTACTCTTTTACCATTAAAAGGCAACCCATATCCCTTGTCCCATTGACACCCAAACAGGTTCTTGAAGACCAACTAAAGATGCAAAAAGTAAAGAAAAAGATAGGGAAAAGAGAGAGAGGCCGAAAAAGAGAGAAAAGAAAAGGAGATTAAGAGAGCCGTACTTTCACAACAGCCCCTTATAGTACTCAAGTACAAGGAGGCCTTTTTGAATACTAACGATCCTGTCGGTTCTTTGCCGAGCAATGTTGTTTTTTCTTGCAGGAGTTTGAGGATGTAATCCCAGAAGAGATGCCTCCTGACGTGCCTCTAATTCGGGAACTTAAACATCAAAGTGACTTAATACCCGGTGCATCAATTCCAAGGGGTGACGATTTGAGGACAAATCCTTTTCAAGAGGGAAAAAATGATGCGATAGGAGGAGCACAAGGGCAAGCGGCGCAACCTTCAAGAGATCCATCGAGTCTACCAAGTAGTCCGGTGACAAGGCTTAAAGTCAAACGCTTCAAGGAAGTATTGAACGGGCTGGTTCAATAAGTTGGAGATACGACAAACACATGGAGGCCCAACACAAGTCCAAATCCGGATGAAGAAGAACCTAGTCACCTCAAATTGGCCGAATTGGGCCTAGGGGAAAAGCTTTGTGGCTGAATTGGCCTTGGGTTAGAATAAATAGGTTTTGCCGAGTTTGGGCTTTAGACTTAGATAATTAGACGTTTTTAGTTTTCTTTAGGGTTAAAATCGCATCCTATATAAATAGAGATGTTAAACACGTTTTTAGATAGATCATTGAATACACATATTGAGGTTTTGCATATTTTGTGCTTCTTGGTTCTTGAGAAGACTTTTTGAACTTATCAAGTATTTTTCTTGTGGCGTTCAACAATCGAACTTACCATTGAGATTAACGGGTGTTTCTTGATAATCTTGGTGTGGCGTTCTTCAACCTTCGTAGTTCTTGATTCGCGTCTTGATAGACAACGGGTTAAAGCTCAACAATCTTGCGTCTTGAAGATCTTAGGGT